GCACCTCTAGTGGTGTACCTCGTCCCAGGACTGTTCCAGGCTCCCCACACACAGCCTCTGGGATCCAGCAGCCAAGGCTGAGTGAGCATAGACACTGGTTAAGCCGAGAAAGCAGCACAGCCCTGGGCCGTGGACAGCACACACTCAGCACGCTTGGGACAGTTACAGCCCCCAGGCCCCCTCTCAAGGCTGCAAAGCTGGACCACTGCCTCCCTGGAATCTGGCCCAAAGCCACCTGAGTCTTCATGCATAACACCTCCTAGCGGGCAGGCGGGGCTTTCCACCCAGACCTGGAAGTATGCTTTGGGAAGAGGGTAGGAGCGCATGAATCCATGCAAGCCCCCACTTCCAGCCCTCAGAGACTTTGCTACCACCACTCTGATGTGGCTGGCACCAGGTCTGCTCACACTAACCTCGTGTCCAGATTGGCTGGGGGATCCAAAGCCAGACCCTCCCCGCCTCACCTGGCCTGGCTCTCCCATTAAATATCCAGGCAGCACTGAACTCGAAGTGCTCTCTCTCTCTCTCTCTCTCTCTCTCTCTCTCTCTCTCTCTCTCTCTCTCTCTCTCTCTGTGTGTGTGTGTGTGTGTGCGTGTGTGTGCATGTGTGTGTGCGCGCGCGCGTGCCCAGCTGTGAACAACACGTGAGGCCACAAGGTGCCCGTTGCCTGTCTTCCTCACGCCCCCTTCCAGGGTGGGACTTCCCTCTCGGCTCACCCCCTCCAGGCCAGTGCACACCCATTTACGGCTAAACTGGTCTCCAGCCACTCCGTTCTTTTCACCGACTTGGATTTCTTTTCCCACAGAAGTCCTCCAGGGTTGTCCCCAGCAGCACTCTACAGATGGACATCTCCGGTCCCACTTAATAGCAGCATCGGATTTGGGCCACTTCGTAGCTATGATATGGCATGTGCCTTGGTGCGAAAACCCAGCAAGGTAAGGAGCTGGGTTGTCCATTCTCCCATCTCTCTCCCTTCCCTGCGGAGTCCGGGTCATGGCAGGCACTGTATGATGAGCAGGACACCTTGTGAGTGAAGTCTGGGCTCACTAGCCTTTGCAAGATCACAGCTCTTCCTACCAGCCTTTTTCTTTTGGGGACACAGTCTCATGTAGCCCAGGCTGGTCTGGAACTCACAATCCTCCTGCTTCAACCTCCTAAACCCTGAGGCTACAGGCCTGTGTTCCACACCAAGTTGAGAAGCAGGAAGAGCACCAGAACCTGGGGTAGGAGTTTATCTGTTCTAGTATTAATCACCCCATAAAACCTGTGTTTATTTGGTTGCTGGCAGGCTTTTCATCCTGGAGGTACGAAGCTGTTATTCTTGGAGATGCCATCCTAGGTCCAGGCCAGGGCACCCACAGGAAGGATGGTGAGGGTGAGCTGCTGAGCTCCGGGACATGGGGACGTGGCCTGGAGGGCCCGGAATCGGTCTGCTGTGTGAGTCTGGGCTGCAGTGAAACAGGGTTAGGAGCCCAGCCTCTAAACTGTCCCCTTCTTTGGGGACACAGCCCATCCCTTTATGGGAATGTGAGCATACCTGCCACACTCAGTGTACCCAGAACTTGAGGACTCTAGCGCACTGCAGACTGGACAGGTCAGGTCTGGGGCTTTGGCTCTACATACAAGTTGGAGGAAGTCCCTAAAGGTCAAATAATCTTTGGGGGATAGTCAACCCAGCAGTGACTGGCCCATCTCCAGAGCCCCCTGAGCAAGAGCTGCTAAGATGGGACAACAAATGTGCTGGGCGTGGTGGCACAGCCTGGAACCTCAGCACTTGGTTAGGCTAAAGCCAGACACACCTTTTGAGGCTCCTGAGGGATCCACGCCTCTGCCCTTACCCTCTCTTCCCAAGCATCTTCTCCTCATCTGTATCCCCTCCCCCTCTGTCTCTCTTGGTTCTCTCTCCTCTCTCTCTCTGTCTCTCTCTGTCTCTCTCTCTCTCTCTCTCTCTCTCACACACACACACACACACAAATTTAGGAGGAGCAAAATGAAGAACGGTTTTAAAATGCCAGTGATCGTGGTGATTTACGCTGGGACAGCAGTCACAGGCCTCAGCAAAGTAGCCTGCAACAGATCCAAGGGCAACTGAACTGCTCTAAGCAAACCCATGTATAGTCACGGAAGGGGTGGGGGTCAGGCTGGGCTGGACAGCCTGGGCTCCAGTGCCAGCATGAGGCCCTGCTGATTCATCTCCAGCTTCCACCCCTACCCACCCTGGAGGTTAGAGCCCCCACATCCCTGGGCACAGTCTCCCGGAATGTGCAAGGCCCGCTTGAGCCTCCTCTTACAAGAAGTCTGTCAAGATTCTACCGCCACAGACCGGAGCCGCCTTTGACTTCCTGGCTCCTGTCATGTGTAAACCTGCCAGAGGCCACGGGAAAGACACTGCTTTATCCTGGAGCTCCTTGTTCAGACCCAGCTCGACCATATCCCTACATGGGCAGGCCAGACCTTCCACAGACCGCAATCTTCACCCTGCCTGCCCAGAGTTCAGTGAGCTAATGATGGAAATGTCCCAGCGGATGAAAGGGATGCTATGACCACAGAGGTTAGCGATTTACAACTCTCTCCAGGTTGCTGATTGAGTCCTGGCGTCTCCTTGCCCCCCCTCACTGCCCAGTGAGCCCAGAGCTGCCTGACAGTGGCTGGGCTCCTTCAGCCCCGCCCACCTGTTCTTTTCTTCAACTAACATTTCCCAGTGCTCCCTTTCAGCCACCCCCCACCTCCCCCCCCTAGAGTGCTGGCTCTCAGCCTCCCCTAATGCTGCCCTGCTTTAACACTGTCCCTCGGGTTGTGGTGACCCCAACCAAAAAAGTATGCTTGCTGCTGTAACTGTAATTTTCCTACTATGAATCATAATGTAATGTCCATGTTTTCTGATGGTCCTAAACGACCCCTGTGAAAGGGTCACCCCATACCCCAAAGGGGGTCTCGATCCCCACGGAGACAGCGTAGGAAGGAAGGACCCGGTTCCTTCTTCAAAGGAACTCCCGTCCTATGGAGACACAAGGGTGGATGGACTGAGGCTCCCAGAGACCACAGAGCTATGGTGGGAACAGGAGAGAGGAAAAGTCTAACCAAAGGGCTCAGGGAGGAGGCGGCTTCAGGCAAGTGCGGGGACTGAGAGGAACAGCAGTCTTGGCCAAACCTGGTGGCACAGGCTTGGAACCTCAGCTCCCTGGAAGGCTGAGGCAGGAACATGCACGTTCACAGGCAGTCTGGAAACCCTGACTCAAAATGAAGAGTTCAAGGCTCCCGTTCAGTGGTGGAGCACTGGCCTAGCATGCTGGAGGTCCTCTCTCAGTCCTGGGGAGGAGGGAGGAGTATTATTTGCTTCGGGAGGATGACGAGAGTTGCTCCCACGTCTTTCTCCCCTCGCACAACAAGGTGGCAACCTTCTCAAGAGCAGGAAGTCACTCGTTCCCTGCCCTCCACCATGTGGCAGGGGCCCAGGAAGGACACGGACACTTTTCAGAGCAGATGGTTGAGGCTGGACTGGATGAGTGGCCTGGAGCTCAGACTTAAGCCTAACAGTGTGCGACCCAGAGGACACCCGGGCAGCCGAAGGGGCTCGTGTGAACTGTGGGTTAAGCAGTTGTCCTCCACAGGAGGGGTAGGGATGGCCACTACCCTGCACCCATTGATCCTCACATGCCACCCTTTCAGACTGCCCCACAGTACACATGGGTCCACTACACAGCGCACGCACCTTGCGCCGGCCCAGGATCCAGCCCAGATTTGTCTCCATAGCTAAGGCACATACTTTCTGGCAGGTAGAGCCCTTCAGGTGTACCCAGTATGCAGAGGGAGTGGGGGAAGCTGTCCAGGCAGCCCGGATACCCTTCTTCAGTAGCTGTCACCAGGAATCGCCTGTTTGGGGCTCTTAACATGTCAGCATGAATGCAGGAACTCTTTTATTGACTTGAAAAACAGAAAGTTCCCAAACTGCTAGTTAACAAAAACAGCCTCCTGATGTTTGGAACTTAATGCACAGGCTTCTGGAAATTACTCATATCTTTGTTTTTACTTTCCCTTTTTTTTTTTTTTTTAAACTCAAGTCAAAGTGCTCTGAAAACAGTCACAATTTCTAGGCTTAGAAGGCAGAAAGGAAAGCGGAAGCGGGTTTTGAACCCCTCTTGTGCCATTTCTCTCTGCAAGAGAAAGGGGGTGGGGGGGCAGAAGTGGCCAGTGTTGGCTAGACACGTCTTTGATACTAGGACAGAGCAGCTACTCTACTCAGCCTCTGCAGCTCCTCCCAGGGCCTGTTTTCCAGATGAGGGAGCTGTGTGACCAGGCTCTGTCTGTATGTCGAGTACACATGTCTGCAAACACACACTTGAATATACATGCACACATATCTCAAGCTAGAGGAACGGTTGGGCTATATCCCCTCCGTCACCAGCTCCCGTGACCCTACGCAGTCTGAGGCCCCTGGCGGCGCTGTCAAACGCCATGGCTGGGAAGCTGAGGGGTCTGAGCCCCACCTGCAGAGCCTCCTGCTCCCCTCCCCCACCCCCTGCACACACTTACAGAAAGCCCTAGGGTAAGGGTGGAGTCCAGGTGCCAGGACAGCTGTAGGCCAGGGCCAGGACTTGGTTTTGGACTAGGCAGACCCAGGATGGAGAGCTGTCTGCACCACCCATCCATGAGGACGTAACATCCCAAGTGTGAGTCTCCTCAAATAGTCTCAGGGTTGCAATGAGACAATGGTTACTGAAAGCAACATTAACCTCACCGGGACAGGGACAGGCCTGCCATTTCTGGTGGTGAAAGTTGTGTCCAACTCAGAAAGCACCCTGAAGGAGGGCCTGTGGGGGTCATACTCTCACTAAGCTTTGCCTGCCAAAGCTGTGGCCAGGAGGGGGAAACCGACGTTCATAGAAAAGTCCAGAAGGTGTTCCTGGGTCCCTTGGCCTCCATGCAGCCCCCACGACTCATGGGAACGAACTCTCAGGGGTGTGGCCCCAGAGCTAATGAAGCAGAGTGTGCCACTCACCTAGCAGCTGGACACCCCGCGTGAGGCCGTAGACGTCCACCAGGGCCCAGAGCGGGTCGGCTGTCCGGACCCCATTGAAGAAAAGCATGGCAGCTGAGTCATTGATGCGGTAGAAGACGCGGCCCTTCTTGTCCACCCAGAAGGCAATGATGTTGCCCTCGTTGGCAAACTCCTCAGGCACAGCTTTGGCCCAGAAGCCACTCTGAGACACCAGGTCAGGGCAGGCGTACTTGGGCAGCGAGTCGGGGTGAATGCGGGAAGGGTCCTTGCTGGTGAAGCCAAGTCGCAGGGCTCCACTCCAGCAGCTTTGCTTCTTGGTGATCTGGCCACAGGGAGTGGGGACCCTCAGCCCAGCCTCTCTCCCTCAGTCAGAGGACCAAGGGGAAAGGGGTGGGCTCACTACAGACCACCCCCGGCCAGAAAACTCATTCCCACCCACCCCCACCCCAGGGCCTTCCTACAGGTTAGTGAAGGTTACTCCCACTGGGTCTTATCACCCAGGGAGGTTGGGAAAGGAGTAAGGAATAAAGAAGGGAAGCAAAAAGGAGAAGGGGGGGGCAGGGCTGCCGGTGGGCGGCAGAACAGCAGGTCAAAGAGGTCAAAGGCAGGGGTCAGGGCGCCCACCTTCAGCCTGACTTGCTCGTAGATGAGCACCGGGCGGTTACTGAAGGTGATGGCGTTGCAGAAGCTGGCCTGCCTCTTGACGGCCTTGTGGCTGAGGTCCATGAGGATCTGGGAGCCCTTAGTGTGTGGGTGGAAGAGCAGCGGTGTGGCTGAGAGCCCCCCGGCTGACAGCACAGGAGTACAGGGCTTCTGTTTGTGATGGCATCGGTGAGAGGTGACCGGGAAGGAGCCCCCGACGGAGTCTGCAAAGGAACAGGCCACAACCTCAGAGGACGTAATAGAACCAAGAGCTGCCTGGTCAGGGTCTCGTGGGGGAGGGCCAGGGAGGAAGCAGCGGCCAGGCACTAGAGAGCATTCCCACCTTCCAAGCGGCTGTAACCACCATCCTTCCTGCACCATCACCGTTTCCCCAGCCACCGCCCTCTACTGCAGCGGTTCTCAACCTGTGGGCCGTGACCCACATCCTGCATATCAGATAATCACTTTATGATTCACAACAGTAGCAAAATTACAGTTATGAAGTAGCAACAAAAGTAATGCATGGTCGAGGGTCACTACAGCATGAGGAACTGTGTTAAAGGGTCGCAGCATTAGGAAGGTTGAGGACCCCTGGGCTACTGGGTCCTTAGCCATCCACCACCCCCCTCCTGTCCTCCTCACTAGCAGTTACTTCCTCCCACCATCAGCTGGGTTGGCCCTGTCCAACCATTCACTGTCGCTACCAACATCTTCTCTTTTATTCATCTTATCCGTGATCACTCATTATCTGCTAAATACCAAGTTCTGTCCTTGGCACGGAGGCTACAGACATGAAACACGTACAACTCTTGTCCCGAAGCCAGTACCCCTCCCAGTGTCCCAGGACAGCGACACTGATGAAAATCATCATACTAAATGACACACTGTGGCCACCACCCAAAGAACCACCAGGATGCTTGCCTCTCAGGAAGACCCCTGGAGGAGGAGGAGACAGTCGGGGCAGCATTGGGACTCAGCCGGTAAGGCAGAGCTGTGGTGGAGTTGTGATCAGTGTCAAGGACGTAATGTCCCTACCTCAAGGCCATCCAGTATACCGCAGGCTTCACTCCTGCTCAACATTGCCTGTGCCAGTAGCACTGGGGGGACCACACAAAGGCATGGCATTTCCTTCCACTACTGATAAACTGCTGAAGTGGGTTAGAGGGTAGGACAGGCTTGGGGGAAGGGCAAGCACTTTCAAGATGTGCAGATGGCAGCCAGGAGACAATCAGAAACAGTCAACACTGCAGGTGGCTTCTCTGCCACTCAGTGACAGAGCAACATTTCCCTCCCTGGGACAATGGTTGGGTCTGCTGCTAGGTGGCATCCTTACTTGGGTTAGGAGCTAGGGTACCCTTTCTTACCCAGCACCTGTGCCCTGAGTCTTACAGAAAATGGAGCCTACCCATCCTGCCATCTTAAGCAAAGAGCCATGGGCAGCAACAGGCAGAAGGTGGTGGAGGACACCTTGACAGGGCTTCTGAGGTGTCTCAGATTTTAGTCCTCATGAGACGACAACTTAACAATTCAGCAAGATGTGGTTAGCAACAGCCCTGCACAGATCCCACCAGTACCTCTCAACAGGGAGAAAGAAGATGGAAACAGGGAGGGGAGAGGGATGGGCAACCCTCGAGGCCAAGCCTGTCGGGACACTTTGGTCTGTGTTAGTTCGCATTTCGGCTTCCTTCCCTTGAGGGCCCCAGACTCCAGGCTCCACAGCCTGGCACCAGCTGCTACCCTGTGCACGTTCCTCTGGGCTTCTCTAGAGCAAGTTCTTGTGTGCCGGGCCCAACGGGAGGGGTAGCATGAGAAAGGTTTGCTTTGCTCTCTTCAGGAAGACAAAAAGTTCTAGAGCTATGCAGAGGTGCAATAGTTTCGGCAGCCATCAGGGCTGGAATATCTTGGGAGTCCCAGATAGTTGAGCGGGCTCCCTAAGTGGCCTCTGGGTAAGTGTGGAGGGTGAGAGGCCATCCCAGGAAGGGGACTCTGGGTAGTGTAGAGGGCAGGAGGTCATCCCAGGAAGGGGGCTCAGGGTAGGGTGAAGGGTGGGAGCACCCTGGTAAAGGGTAGAGGAAGCAGCAGTTTTAGGTACCCTGACTGGAAGAGGCACCCAGCTCGCCTCAGACACAACTTGAATCTTAGTTTCCTGCTGCTGGGGCTGGAGAGAGCTCAGTGGCTAAGAATGTTCGCTGTGCAACCATGAGAACCCACGTTCAAATCCCTGTCGACCATGTGGGAAGCCAGGCATGGCTGCACCAGTGCCTGTAATCCCAGTGTTTTGTAGGGCGGAGACAGGAGGATTGCTGGGGCTTCTTTGTCTCAGGGAATAAGGCAGAGAGTGACAGGCCAGGACACACATCCTCTGGCCTCCAGCTACATGCAATCTGCACACCCGCACATGCAGGGATATCCCTCTCAGCCCTCTTGATGCCGGAACACAACCTCTCTGAGGTGAAAACAGCTGAGGACAGACACAGCTTCTATACAACAGGACACTTACACTTCAGGATGTCCCCAAGAGAAGTGAACACAAATGGCCATGATGTGTACACTGCATATAGCAGCTTGACTCATGGCCGTCCCCAATCGGCTCAAGTACGCCCCTGCTGGTGAAGGAAGGGTGAGTGCAGTGGTGTGTCCACTCAGCCACGGTTGCTCTGAGAGAGAAGGTGAAGACCTCAAACGCATGCTAAGTGACAAAAGCCAGCACAAAAGTCACCTACTACATGGCTGCTTCTCAGGGACACTGCAGAGGCAGAGGTTTGTGGGGTCAGAGTTTGGGGTGAGGAAAGAGACAACTACAGAGAAGCCTGAAGGAAGTTCTCGTGTTCACAGAAATATTCTGTCTTAATAGTGGCTGTGGTCACAGAACTTACACGGTTGTCCCCAAACCACATAAATGCAGATGATTTTACTGGACAGACATTAGACTTCAGCAAGGGGCTGAGGCTACTGAGGTGTCTGTCAGGCAAGAGGTCTTCCAGCACAAGCGGGAGGACTTGAGTTCAGCACCCACATAAGGAGCTAAGCATAGCTGGACAGGTACTCAGAGGGAGATACGCAGAGACAGGAGGGTAGCTGGGACTTGCTGGCTGCCAGTCTCACTGCACATGAAACAACAGACCCTGTCTCAGGAGAGCAGCACATTTCATGTCCTCTGGGCTCTGGACACGAGCAAAAGTATGTGCACACACCACACACACACACACACACACACACACACACAGCATACACACACAGCACACATACACACACACAGCACACATACACACACACACAGCACACACACCACACACACACCACACACACACAACATACATACCCACACACAGCACACATACACACACACACACAGCACACACACCACACACACACCACACACACACAACATACATACCCACACACAGCACACATACACACACACACAGCACACATACACACACACAGCATACATATACACACACATACACGCACGCACACACACACACACACACCATACAAACACATACACCACACACAGACCACACACACATCACACAAACACAGATACACACCACACACACATACACAGGACACCACACACCACACACCACACACATACACACCACAAGTCTCTCTCTCTCTCTCTCACACACACACACAGCATACATACACACACACACACACACACACACACACACCATACAAACACATACACCACACACAGACCACACACACATCACACAAACACAGATACACAGTACACACACATACACAGGACACCACACACCACACACATACACACCACAAGTCTCTCTCTCACACAGCATACATACATACACACACACACACACACACACACACACACACACACACACACAGAGTGCAAGAAAGCACCACAGGTCTTCGGATTGTGGAACAGTGGGAACAAAGATGGACTCTGGCCACCATGGCCCCCGTCACTTGGTCCCAGGAAGGGCTCATAAGGATTTAGATCACCTCACAGAAGTCCCCAAGCCAAGTTGGGCTGACACTCTAACCCTACCCACAAGTCCCCTCCCAACCTGTGAAATGAAATGGATGCTATTCCTGTCCCGGTGGGTGGGGACAAGGTACTCTGGCAGCTTCAATGCTGGGAGTGTGAAGTCTTGGGGTCTGCCTCTCCTGTCCGTATGTGGCTCCAGGGCCACTGAGTGACCCCCAGACACTCTTCTCAAGCTAGCTGTGTGACCACCACATAGAGCCACCCCTTTGGTCTGCTGGCCATCCTCTCCCATTAACCACTGGCTGTTTGGCAGCCCCAGCTAAATGCCTGACCCACACCCTCCCCGACTCATCCCACAGTTGGGGGAGTCCTTGAACACCCCACACCCTGGCTATTAATCCCACCATCCACACCAGCATTCCTGAAGTCGGTCCCCTCCCGTCTGCCTTGCGTCACAGGCCTAATTCAGACCTTCTTATGTCTCTTCTGAAAGAGCCAGGACTACCACATAAAGGCACCTAAACTGTGACCTGTGCACCTCCAGTGTGTAAAGTCCCCATAAGGTGCCAGGGCCACCACAGAGAGGCACCTATGGGCTGCACCGTGATTGGTACCGTCAGAGGCGGCTAGTGTGGATAGCCTGGCCAGAGTGACTGCCACCTTCGAGGTCCTGCTGCTGCTGGTCTCCCTCCCTGTCACATCTGACATGAAAATCCGCTGGCTGTGGGGAGTGAGCCAACAGTGACATTATTGTATGCACAGCTCTGGCACCAAGGACCCAGGTGGGACAGCCGGAGGCCGGCTCCCTTCCGTCCGTCATCTGAGGTTCTCTATGGCACTGTAAGCTCCCCACTCCGTAGATGAAGCAGTTAGTGTTAGACCAAGAGGAAAACAGATCTGACTGTGCTTTACCCGACTCTATCCAATACTAGAGTGTGGTGAGACACCGTTGATGATTTATTAAAGCAAAGTCAGTCACACATCATAGAAGCCAGGCACACATCTTTAGTCCCAGCAGCCAGAAGCTAGGAGCTGGTGCTACACACCTTTAATCCCAGGACTCAGGATTAAGAGACAGATGGAGCTCTGTGAGTTCAAGGCCACCCAGATCTACAGGAGAGTAAGAGAGTTATAGCTCACACCTTTAATCCCAGCACTAGGGAAGTCTATAAGACAGAAGCAAGGGCTCAGAGAGGCCCTCCTTCTCCAGCCACGCTGAGGAGAGGTTACAGTCTGAGGCTTGGTGGGAGCTCGTGGAGA